GTACCGGCGCTGTCCCTCAAGAAAATACCCCAATTCCAAGGCCTTCCGAGAACAAGAATGTTCACAAACTTGTACATTTTTTGTGGGAGGCATTTGTGTAATTTATCTGGCCCAATCCCTGGAATAGAGCCAGCGCAATCACTTGCTGTGGTCGTTTCACTTGTGGCTCAAAGAGCGCTGGCTGGTGCGACGTTTGGGTAGCGCTAGGGATGACTTTGTCTGCAGCTCAGATAGGGCCTCTCATTCGAGGATTGTCATCCACCCGAAATCAGATAGATTTCATCATATTTAATCTATTTACAATCTTTTTCTTCATATTTACATGTTGAATGATCAGCCACAAAGAAGAGCAGGATCTGCGGAAACTTTCTATCCCAGGTCTAGCAACAACGTGTCCCAGGCAGGAAGCTGCTGATGGTCTGCTATCTAAATGACTAGCCATGGAACCCGTTCTGGGCTCTCTTGACATCTCTTGACCCCCCACCTTGGACTGACATGTCTTCTGGTCACTTTTAGATTTTAAACACCCTTGGACTTGTATGGATTTGTTGCACAACCTTGCGCACCAGTTTGACCATGCTTGACTCTAGCCATAGCCATGTGACCTGACCGCCACAGGATGACAACGCAACAGCAACATCGGCTCCTCGGTGCAGGGAGATTGTTGCCACATGTTGCCGCAATGAAGCACAACTGACGTCCGCGTTGCCCATGCGTTGTCCATGCGTTGTGAGCATTGAGCATTGTCCATCCGAAACGTGGAGAAACGTGGAGAAACATGGACTGAGTGGACGCATTGCGATGCCAAGTGGCCAAGTGGCCAAGCTCAGTGTATTGACGAATCGACGAATGAGTGGTTACTCTGGTTCTGTGGGGAAACCATGACTCTGCCATGACTCAGGTGCTCGAGAGAAATGCAACTGGGCCAAGCGGTGAACCCGGAAGTTTACTATTGTTTACAGAAGTGTTTACATGTGTTTACTATCATTTAACTTATCATTTACTCATTTATCGACTTTCCTTTGTATGTGAACAAAGATACAAAGCAAATGAGATACATGCTAAACACCTCTGTTCGATGCAAATGATGGAACCAATGACTGACACACTGACCTTCAAACACGTTTTAAGCAAAACAGCTTCAAAGACGCTTATAGAATTTTATAGAATCTTTTGGAAAACATAGAGAAAGATAGAGATTCTGAGATGCCCGGTTTCTTTATTGCCACTGGGACGATGTCAATGCACTTTGCGGATGCTGCAGCTGGGGAAGACTTCTTGTTGGGACGCTTGCCCCATGAGTCAAAGTCTGGCTCGGTGCAATCCCCCTTCAACACCCTTCAACAAAATCAATCCAGTTGCCAACCACAGGCAGTTGACAAGGCGGTTACTGGCAGCCTGAGGTACTTCTTGAGGTGTTTGCGGCTTTGGGTTTGCCTTCTGAGAGGGCCATTTCGATTGCAGACCACGGATGTCGTTTGGGCATCAAAGTGCGGTGCAATGCGCAGGGCCACGTGACGTTTCTGGATTTGTCAGCTCCTCGACGCATGCCTGGTGGTGGAGCCAGTCCTGCTATGAACTAGTGATGGAAACGTAAACTACATAAACCAATAAGCTTCCACTAAGCTTCCACTTTGGATGTCATGCTAGTGTGCATTGCCTGATGCAACATCCAACAAGAGCAGCCCCCATAGGAAGAAGTGGGGGTTTTAAGTCCTAACAGAAACTTATGTGACCGGGAGATTGAAGCGCCATGGGGGCCTAACATGCTCGTTTCGGCGACACTCGTTTGGGAAACCCTTCTTGCCCCCTACAGGTTGCTTTGCAAAAGCAGTCTGACATCTAAATGAAGCCTTTCAACCAAGGGTTCTGAATGCTTTCTGAAGGTGTCCGCTTGGTGTTGGATGGTGTGTCCGCCTTCCCGAGGGTCTTGACTCCCTTTGTCTCCCATTGTACCCCTTCTTGTTTCCCTTTGTTGGATGGTGTGTCTTCCTTCCCGAGATTGTCTCCCATTGTACCCTTTCTTGTTTCCCTTTGTTGGATGGTGTGTCCACCTTCCTGAGGTCTTGTCTCCCCTTGTCTCCCTTCTTGTTTCCCTTTGTTGGATGGTGTGTCCGCCTTCCCGAGGGTCTTGTCTCCCCTTGTCTCACAGCTTGTCTTCCTTCTTGTTTCCCTTTGTTGGATGGTGTGTCCGCCTTCGTCTCCCATTGCACCCCTTCTTGTTTCCCTTTGTTGGATTGTGTGTCCGCCTTCCCGAGGGTCTTGTCTCCCCTTGTCTCACAGCTTGTCTTCTTTCTTGCTTCCCTTTGTTGGATGGTGTGTCCACCTTCCTGAGGTCTTGTCTCCCCTTGTCTCCCTTCTTGTTTCCCTTTGTTGGATGGTGTGTCCGCCTTCCCGAGGGTCTTGCCTCCCCTTGTCTCACAGCTTGTCTTCCTTCTTGTTTCCCTTTGTTGGATGGTGTGTCCGCCTTCGTCTCCCATTGCACCCCTTCTTGTTTCCCTTTGTTGGATTGTGTGTCCGCCTTCCCGAGGGTCTTGTCTCCCCTTGTCTCACAGCTTGTCTTCTTTCTTGCTTCCCTTTGTTGGATGGTGTGTCCACCTTCCTGAGGTCTTGTCTCCCCTTGTCTCCCTTCTTGTTTCCCTTTGTTGGATGGTGTGTCCGCCTTCCCGAGGCCTTGTTTCCCTTGTCTCCCAGCCTCCCTTGTCTCCCATTTTGTCTCCCAGCTTGTCTTCCTCTTTGTTTCCCTTTGTTTTTCGGTATCTAGTGTTGCGACAAAGCTAGTGAAGCGGAAAAAAATAAAGGTGAAGTGGTTTCCGGCACGCATTGCCGACGTTTTCACGATTCCTGCTGCTGCTAGTTCATGTGTTTGACCCTGTTCCTCTAAGCGCTTCTTGAATCCACCAACTGTTTGGGGTCTACGGTGGTGTAATTTTTGGTTCATCAGGAGCTATCATCCCAAGTGCAAGATTTCTGACATTCTGGTAGCTGGAAAACACATGGTTGACACCAACTTTGACAGCGTGTTGCAATGCAAACTGAACAATGCCAGACCATGTGGAGCGTCTCCCAAAGGCAATGTCAGAATTGTCTTGATCCTGTGGTGTGAGGATATGAAGCTGAACGGAAGGCTCTCTGAAAAGCTGGGGCAGCTGTCAGCACTGGAAGAGATTTACATGGATCACAACTTTCTGCGAGATTCCATTCCCTCACAGCTGGGTCATCTTGCATCTTGGATGTCGTGCATTGCGGAAAAAGAAATGGGAAAACTGGACGTTTTCCACCGTTGCCTCTGTGGCTCCAGCAATTTGGTTCGACTGCGCTCAACGCTCGATCTCGCTGATCTCCCTGATCTCCGACCTGGAAAGCATTCGTGTGATGTCCCTGGGCCGTAGACATGTTGGCCTTTAGAGAAGCTGCCGATTATCAGAAGTTCAAGCCGTTCCAGGATTTGAGAAGGAACGATATTCAAGTCATTACTGGTTGCTGGTATATTGCAGTGAAATTAGGCCCAAACAATGCTGGATTGAAACAAATCAAGGATAGACTAAGATCCCTTCAGGTGTTTTCCCTCAACATCGAGCCAAGTGGAACTGATTGGTTGACAGAGTTGACAGCTTCTCAAGGACCAAGATGTCGTACTTGGCCCTGGCCGCTGTCGGTCTCGCCTTCCTGATCCTGTTTCTTGCCGTACTTCGCGCTAGATCAAACACTATTGTGCATGATATTACTGCTATAGTATATATATATTAGCTAAACCCAAAAGGTCGCTGCGGCCTGTTTTTGAAGTTATTTAGACGTATTGAACGTGGGGGGGCGTACGGCCATCTGAGCGAGGGTACGGCGGGCGAACGGGGGGGGAACGGGGGGGCGAACGGGGGGACGAACCGGGGGGCGAACGGGGGGGCGAACGCACACATGCACACACGTACGCACATACGTACGCACAGACGTACGCACGTACGTTCGCACGTATGCACGTACGTAGGTACCATGTTCAGACCCATGTTCAAGCCCATGTTCAGACCCATGTTCAGAAATAAGGTTACCTTTGAAAAGTGACCTCCTAATACTAAATATGCTTTAGGAGGCTTAGGGTCGTACAGAAATAAGGTTACCTTTTATATAAAAGGTAACCTTAAAGGTAACCTTATTTCTGAACATGCATGTGAACGTGCGTGCGTACATGCACATGAACGTGCGTGCATGCGTACGTACGTGCGTACATGCGTATGTGCGACCCCTTCGTGCGACCCCTTAATGCGCCCTCAAGGGGGTGGGCCCGCCCTCAAAATTCCACGGGTTTCGAATACCAACAACTTTGTACCAGTATTCTTGGGTTGTATAAGTAGGTGTAAAATAATTCGGCACAGGTTGACTGTACTAATTATCACCAGGCAAAACAAGACTAGTCGAATCGTTCGCCCGTCCGCTCGCCCCCCCGCTCGCTCGTGCGGGCGACGTTCGTCCACCCGTTCGCCCGCATGTTCGCCCCTACGTTCGCCCCCCCGCAAACTCTTCGTGCGGTTTTCAACATATCCACGGCAGCGAGTTTTTGAGTTTAGCTAATATATATATATATATGATATGGGGTATGCCGGGTATGCTATTGTACGTTTGTTTTTCTTAAAACGGCACTGGGTCAAAACAATGCATTCCTGACTGTTAGTCGCAGGTCTCGCCGTCTTTCTTTTTTTGTTGACTATCACACGCATTGCATTTGGTGTAGAACATCGCAACCTCGGTTGCAACAGGTCTCGGGCGACACTCTAAGACTGTACCATTTTGATCTTCAGGTCCAATGGATGCCTCCATGACGAGTTGCTTGAAACATGTTGAAACATGTTGAAACATGTTGAAACCATGTAGTACCAGAAAGGATGTTTGATCTCAAGAAATTCTGTTGGTCCACTTCCTTGGTATGGGATTTCTTTCATCTCAAAATCGAATCGAGTTTTCGAAGTTTTCCAAGTGCAGTCACGGATGTCACGGATGTCACGGATGTCACGGATATCACGGATGTCACGGATGTCACGGATGTCACGGATGTCACGGATGTCACGGATGTCACGGAATGAGGCTGCCATCCTCTTTTAATTTCGCAGCACCCTGGGTGCCGACCGGCACGACTGGCACCTCCGGCCCCGGCGTGGCTTCCGGACGCCTCCCAGCGATACCGCAAAGCACGGCCATGCCGGGCGCCCATGCGGGCACCGCGGTGGCAGTTTAGGCTGTGGCAAAATTCGCTGAGTTTTTTTGGTGTTTTTAAATTTAATGTAATTTTGTAATGTTGGAAATTCTGGACTCATGGGGATCTCAGTTACATCGAGATGTGGGTTCAGAAAATTTCAGTTTTTTTTTGTCGAAAGTACAACCATCAGAACCAACTGATGCCACAGGATTGGCACAGGGGTGGTGCCCTCTAGTGTGTTCAGATCAAGAATCAGCCGGACCCCATTTTAAGTCTCAGCTGCTCACTTTCATTATAGATCAAACATCCACATGTTGTCATATTCTATTTTGATTTGTCCCTACTTTCTGTTTCTACAACTGCCCCAAAGTCATTGACGTTCCTCCACCAGATGGGTAATCAAACGAGATGTAATCAGGGAGTATCCGGGCATGATCTACGTGGAACTTGTTTTTGGACCAGAGAGTTTGGGAGCAAATTGGAATCATCGAACATATGTTGGCCTTTGTCTTCTCGAAGTCATGAATCATAAGTTACTGTATTGTTGTATTGTAACATGTCGCAACATGTTGTAGCACAAGTCTGAAGTGTCATCCTCCTCAGGTGCTGCAAAAGAGCTAGTACCACTCGTCAGAGTGAAACCATCCACGAAAAAGGCATGAAAAAGATTGAAAAAAGTCTTCCGCGTGTAGCCGCGTAGCCCGCGTAGCCCGCGTTGCCCACGTAGCCCGCGTAGCCACGTAGCCCAGTGCTTTGCCACCATCGAAGCCACCCCAGGCGGTGCGATGTATGGCATGGCTCTTTTGGCGACCTGTGCATCTGGGCTCCTGGCCCGTAAGCGCAAGGCCAAGGTGACTCGCCAGGAGTCTTTGCATGGCATCAAGTTCAGCTACTCCATTCAGAAGGACGATGACCCGCTGACGCTGGATTATCTTGAGCACGAACCCTTTATGTATACATGGTTTTACACATAACATACTAAACACACTATCTTAATTATCTATCCATTATTTTATATATCTATTTATCTACTTATCTATCTATTTATCTACGTATCTATCTGATCTGATCTGACCTGATCTGATCTGATCTGGTCTTATCTATCTAATTAAGCTAATCGTATTTATCTAATCTTATCTATCTAATCTTATCCATCTAATTTTCTCTATCTAATCTAATCTAATCTAATCTAATCTAATCTTAATCTAATCTTAATCTAATCTAATCTAAATTTAAATCTAATCTAATCTAATCTAAATCTAATCCAACCTAACCTAATCTAATCTAGGTATCTATCTACCTGTCTGTCTGTTTGTCTATCCATTTTTTAAAGAAATGGGACGCATAGCATTAACGTCCCATTGACATGGCTGACGAGAAGTGAAGCAGGAAATGAGTGACCTCAGGCCATCAAGCTTCACCACAAAACACATCAGTGAGATGCTATGGATTCGCTGTGATTTGCAGGATAAAACTGTCAAAACGGCAAAATGGCGCCATGCGGAATTTGTGAACCGCAGCTTTGGTTGCCAGGATGCGTATGCTGACTTGGAGTTCCTGAACGATGTGGGTTGCGTGGCTGAAACTGAACAACGCGGTTATGAAACTTGAAAAAAACTATGGACAAGTATGTACGAGTCTTCAACAGAGAACCTTTCCTTAAACGTGTGGAACCTGCAGTTTCCTCTGCACACCAATCCCGAACTGACCCAAGAAAAAATTGAGAGCATGAACTGGAGCGACAACCGGGCTGTAGTAAAAGCAGATCAGGTGATGCCACTGACTGACTTTCAGATGGAGAAACATGAAGAACATATATGAGAACATGCCGAACAGTTTATATAAACATAAAGCAATTCTCATAGAGATTACAGTACCAGAAGAGATATCTGCCTTCAAGACAAACATCTTTCAGATGGAAACTTCTGCCAAGTCTTCTCAGTATAAATGCGCGTTGTGCATGCAGGCTACTTGCCTGACGGCACGCCAATGAACAGGGCTGGCAACGCCATCAACCATCCGGAGACCATTGGACCAGATCCACACACTCCGGGTTCTCCGTTGCCCCGTGCTCACTTCTGCAATTCTGTGGGCTACCTGCCAGATGGCACACCGATGAACGCTGCAGGCAATGCTTTGAACCACCCTGAGACAATGCAGCCAGACATGCACACTCCCGGCTCCCCATTGCCACCATCCCACTACTATGCCGACGTGGGCTACTTGGTGGATGGAACGGACATGGCCACTGCTGGTAATCTGTCTGTGCAGGGTGCGCCCCCCGCTTCATCGATGCCGGCTGCACCAGCACCAGTCGCGGCACCCCCACCTGTTGCGGCACCAACCCCTGTTTCGGCACCACCACCAGTGGCAGCACCATCATCAGTGTCAGGGGATGTGATGCATGGCATCAAGTTCCCTTACTCGATTCAGAAGGATGCATGTGTGGATTTGGAGTTCCTCAACGATGTGGGTTTCTTGGCTTGATGTGCAAGCCTAAGCAGAAAGTCATGCATAACAATCACAAACATCTACATTTGAGTTTAGGTGATGGATGGTGATGTTTGAGTGTGCAGTGAGCGTTTGAAGAGCGTTCTGGAAGTGCACGTGTCTATTTATTTTTTGTTTGAGATGTAGTGCTGCACTTTTCTTCAGCTTAGGCTACTTGCCTGACGGCACACCAATGAACAGGGCTGGCAACGCCATCAACCATCCGGAGACCATTGGACCAGATCCACACACTCCGGGTTCTCCGTTGCCCCGTGCTCTCTTCTGCAATTCTGTGGGCTACCTGCCGGATGGCACACCGATGAACGCTGCAGGCAATGCTTTGAACCACCCTGAGACAATGCAGCCAGACATGCACACTCCCGGCTCCCCATTGCCACCATCCCACTACTATGCCGACGTGGGCTACTTGGTGGATGGAACGGACATGGCCACTGCTGGTAATCTGTCTGTGCAGGGTGCGCCCCCAGCTTCATCGATGCCGGCTGCACCAACACCAGTCGCGGCACCCCCACCTGTTGCGGCACCAACCCCTGTTTCGGCACCACCACCAGTGGCAGCACCATCATCAGTGTCAGGGGATGTGATGCATGGCATCAAGTTCCCTTACTCGATTCAGAAGGATGCATGTGTGGATTTGGAGTTCCTCAACGATGTGGGTTTCTTGGCTTGATGTGCAAGCCTAAGCAGAAAGTCATGCATAACAATCACAAACATCTACATTTGAGTCTAGGTGATGGATGGTGATGTTTGAGTTTGCAGTGAGCGTTTGAAGAGCGTTCAGGAAGTGCACGTGTCTTTTTTTGGTTCCCGAGAGCGCCTGCGAAGGGTTCTTGGTAAAAAAGCAGCCGTTATAATACATCTTCACACCTTCACATCTGCTGATCTACATCTTCACACCTTCACATCTGCTGATCTACATCTTCACACCTTCACATCTGCTGATCTACATCTTCACACCCTCACATCTGCTGATCTACATCTTCACACCCTCACATCTGCTGATCTACATCTTCACACCCTCACATCTGCTGATCTACATCTTCACACCTTCACATCTGCTGATCTACATCTTCACACTTTCACGCCTGCAGTTCTACATCTTCACACTCTCACATCTGCTGATGTACAGCTTCACACCCTCACATCTGCAGATCTACATCTTCACACCCTCACATCTGCAGATCTACATCTTCACAAATCTACATCTTCACACCCTCACATCTGCAGATCTACATCTTCACACCTTCACATCTGCAGATCTCCTCTCGCTCTTCTGTCTATCTCTCTCTTAAGGCGGGGGCGGTGCCGCCGGAGCGCCACGAAACGCAACCCTTTCGCACGAAATGGACGTTGGACGCCAAAAACCCAGGTAAAATTGCGATTTTGAGGTGTCACGGGCAACCCTTTCGCACGAAATGGACGTTGGACGTCAAAAACTACGGTAAAATTGCGATTTTGAGGTGTCCATCGCAACTCTTTCGCACGAAATGGACGTTGGACGTCAAAAACTCAGGTAAAATTGCGATTTTGAGGTATCGCGGGCAACCCTTTCGCACGAAATTGCCGTTGGACGTCAAAAACTGCAGTAAAATTGCGATTTTGAGGTGTCGCGGGCAACCCTTTCGCGCGAAATGGACGTTGGACGTCAAAAACTACGGTAAAATTGCGATTTTGAGGTGTCACGGGTAACCCTTTCGCATGAAATGGACGTTGGACGTCAAAAACTGAGGTAAAATTGCGATTTCACGGGTCCGGTCTCTGTGTGTGAAAGTGTTTGTGTGTAAAAGCTTCTGTGTGTGAAAGTGTTTGTGTGTAAAAGCTTCTGTGTGTGAAAGTGTTTGTGTGTAAAAGCTTCTGTGTGTAAAAGTTTCTGTGTGTAAAAGCTTCTGTGTGTAAAAGCTTCTGTGTGTAAAAGGGTCTGTGTGTAAAAGCGTCTGTATGTAAAAGCGTCTGTGTGTAAAAGCTTCTGTGTGTAAAGGAGTCTGCGTGTAAAAGCCTCTGTGTGTAAAAGCTTCTGTGCGTAAAAGCTTCTGTGTGTAAAAGTTTCTGTGTGTGAAAGTGTCTGTGTGTAAAAGGGTCTGTGTGTAAAACCTTCTGTGTGTAAAAGCTTCTGTGTGTAAAAGCATCTGTGTGTAAAAGGGTCTGTGTGTAAAAGGGTCTGTATGTAAAAGCGTCTGTGTGTAAAAGCGTCTGTGTGTAAAAGCGTCTGTGTGTAAAGGAGTCTGCGTGTAAAAGCCTCTGTGTGTAAAAGCTTCTGTGCGTAAAAGCTTCTGTGTGTAAAAGCTTCTGTGTGTAAAAGTTTGTGTGTAAAAGGGTCTGTGTGTAAAAGCTTCTGTGTGTAAAAGCTTCCGTGTGTAAAAGTGTCTGTGTGTAAAAGGGTCTGTGTGTAAAAGGGTCTGTATGTAAAAGCGTCTGTGTGTAAAAGCGTCTGTGTGTAAAGCGTCTGTGTCTAAAGGCCTCTGTTTGTAAAAGCCTCTGTGTGTAAAAGCTTCTGTGTGTAAAAGCTTCTGTGTGTAAAAGCTTCTGTGTTTAAAAGCTTCTGTGTGTAAAAGTGTCTGTGTGTAAAATGGTCTGTGTGTAAAAGTGTCTGTGTGTAAAAGCGTCTGTGTGTAAAAGCGTCTCTGTATAAAAGCGTCGCGTTTCTTCACATCCACGGAATGATGGTGCCGAGCTTTTTCGGCAATGTGTGTAGGAATGGCCATAGTAAAATGAGATAACACATGTAGTTCGCAGCATCATGGTACCGAGCCTCCTGTGCATCTTTGTTGCTCACATTATATTTCTCCATGTTTTCTTTCTACCCCCCTTTCCTTCTCTCTCTCTCTCTATCTATCTCTCTCTCTCTCTCTCTTCCCTCTCTCTCTCTCTCTCCTCTCTCTCTCTCTCTCTCTTCCCTCTCTCTCTCTCTCTCTTTCTCTCTGTGGTTGCAAGACACGTGTCATCTGATGCCCTTTACCAAGTATCCTATTCTTAATCAATCTTACTTTTAAACACCATATCCTTCCATAGCTCATATAAAATTCACCAACTATTCACCGACTATCTTCTCTCTCTCTCTTTCTCTCTGTGGTTGCAAGACACGTGTCATCTGATGCCCTTTACCAAGTATCCTATTCTTAATCAATCTTACTTTTAAACACCATATCCTTCCATAGCTCATATAAAATTCACCAACTATTCACCGACTATCTTTTACGACTACAATCCTCACAGCTGCTTGAAAAACATATTTTTCGCTCTCGGGCCAACCGTCGTCTAGTTTGAAATGTAGTGCTGCACTTTTCTTCAGCTTAGGCTACTTGCCTGACGGCACGCCAATGAACAGGGCTGGCAACGCCATCAACCATCCGGAGACCATTGGACCAGATCCACACACTCCGGGTTCTCCGTTGCCCCGTGCTCTCTTCTGCAATTCCGTGGGCTACCTGCCGGATGGCACACCGATGAACGCTGCAGGCAATGCTTTGAACCACCCTGAGACAATGCAGCCAGACATGCACACTCCCGGCTCCCCATTGCCACCATCCCACTACTATGCCGACGTGGGCTACTTGGTGGATGGAACGGACATGGCCACTGCTGGTAATCTGTCTGTGCAGGGTGCGCCCCCTCCAGCTTCATCGATGCCGGCTGCACCAACACCAGTCGCGGCACCCCCACCTGTTGCGGCACCAACCCCTGTTTCGGCACCACCACCAGTGGCAGCACCATCATCAGTGTCAGGGGATGTGATGCATGGCATCAAGTTCCCTTACTCGATTCAGAAGGATGCATGTGTGGATTTGGAGTTCCTCAACGATGTGGGTTTCTTGGCTTGATGTGCAAGCCTAAGCAGAAAGTCATGCATAACAATCACAAACATCTACATTTGAGTTTAGGTGATGGATGGTGATGTTTGAGTGTGCAGTGAGCGTTTGAAGAGCGTTCTGGAAGTGCACGTGTCTATTTATTTTTTGTTTGAGATGTAGTGCTGCACTTTTCTTCAGCTTAGGCTACTTGCCTGACGGCACACCAATGAACAGGGCTGGCAACGCCATCAACCATCCGGAGACCATTGGACCAGATCCACACACTCCGGGTTCTCCGTTGCCCCGTGCTCTCTTCTGCAATTCTGTGGGCTACCTGCCGGATGGCACACCGATGAACGCTGCAGGCAATGCTTTGAACCACCCTGAGACAATGCAGCCAGACATGCACACTCCCGGCTCCCCATTGCCACCATCCCACTACTATGCCGACGTGGGCTACTTGGTGGATGGAACGGACATGGCCACTGCTGGTAATCTGTCTGTGCAGGCTCTCCGACACCCCAAAGAGGTTTTTCTTCAGTGGGGCGGCAACACATCATTCATCGGGTACAGGATAGAGGCCTAGTTCCTGACCCCAGATGACTTACGACCATGTGAACAGAGGCAATAGGACAAATCAGCCAGGGTGGCATTGTTGCGAGATAGAGCCCTATGCTTCATTTGCCCCAGTCATGACTCTTTGCACAAATACAATACACACCGTAAAACACACACACAGATGTGTATGTGTGTAAATATATATATATATGTATATACATATAATATCTATTTATTTATGTACGTGTATATATGCACCAGGCCCTGCCACCCCCCCTCACCCCCCCCATGGGATGGGTCCCATATACTGCCCCCATATGAGATCTTCCCCCTCCCCCCGTGGTGTGGTGGGGGTGTGGTACTGTCCCCCTCCCCCCCTGTGGGTGTGGTACTGTCCCCCTCCCTGTGGTGTGGTGGGGGTGTGGTACTGTCCCCCTCCCCCCGTGGTGTGGTGGGAGTGTGGTATGGTATGTTGGGTATGTATGGTCGGTCTGGTATGACATGTTTGGAAAGTATGGTATGTTTGGTATGTATGGTAGGTATGCTATGTATGGCATGAATGGTTGTTATTGTATGGATGGTAAGTATGGTATGTAAGTCTGTTGGGTATGGTATGTTTGATATGACAGTATGTATGGTCTGTATGGTATGTATGGTTAGTATGGTTACTATGATGGGTATGGAATGTTTCCTATGTAAGGTAGGTATGGCATGTATGGCATGTATGTTTGGTATTGTATGCATGGTAGGTGTGGTAATTGTGTTTCATATGTATGGTATGTGTGGTCTGTAAGATAGGTATGATAGGTATGGTATGTATGTTACTATCATGGGCATGGAATGTTTCCTATGTAAGATATGTATGGTATGTATCACATGCATGTTTGGTATTGTATGTATGGTAGGTGTGGTAATTATGTTTCATATGTATGGTATGTGTGGTATGTATGATCGGTATGATAGGTATGGTACGCATGGCATCATTGGAATGTATGGTAGGTACGGCATATGTTCAACACATGTAGTGTTGTGAGAGCACACAGGTAGTAAATAGGAAGTAGATACATAGCACATGTATATATGATTGTAGGTGGCACTTAGGTACTTTGAGGGAGTATGTGTGCTACGTAGATCGCCTAAAAGGTAGCATGTACCTAGTAAATGCGAGGCTGGTAGTCGGAAATGCTACAAAGACCTAAAATACGAGGCTGGACCTCAGAAATGCTGCCACTAGCTTGCAAATAGAAGGGAAAAGGGGGTGCTACCGGGGACCCAACCCATTGGGGGGGGTGGAGAGACGGAGGACGGGACCATATATACATATACAGATATAATTATCGAAAGATACATGTACGCACACACACACACACTCTCTCTCTCACCCTCTCTCTCTCTCTCTCTCTCTCTGTGTATATATATATATATATATAGACGGAGAAAAATTAGGATAGAATAGGTATAGATACTTATATGAGAAATCACACACACACAGATGTGTATATATGTTGTATCGTATTTGTTGATGTGTTGAAGACCGGATCCCTGGCAGGAGAAGAGCGTGGCCGTGAAGGCCGCCGAGGCGGTGGCGGCTGCAGTGGCTGCTGCCATGCCGGCGCCGGCGCCAGCCGCAGCGACACCGTCGATGCCGCAGATGGCGCCACCGGTGGCGGCCGCCTTCGTGGGAACGTCCGTAGCGTGGCAGTGACGGGGTGCCCGGGTGCCCGGGTGCCCGGGTGGCGGTTCATTCGCTTCAGCACTTGGAACTGAGTGGAAATGGGAATGTTTTCAACGTGTTCAGGTAATTGGAAACAAGCTTGGGGGTAGTCCAACCCTTGGAATTTTAGATTTAGTTGAACCGCCATGGATATCCCTGGTGGGTACATTTGTAGATCTGGGACAACCCGAGGCACAAGTGTCAGGCACGGTCCAGCGCCAGCCTGCTGGCTTTGCATACTCCATCCAGAAGGACTGCGGGAAAAGATTCAAAGGGTCAACAGCAGAGACCCCCTTGTTGGTTACAACTTACAAGATGTTACAAGACTGGAGATTTGCAAGCTTCTTATACTCCACAACCCAGCCGAAGGACGTCTATGCTGACTACCTCTTCACTAACGACGTTGCTTGGCTCAAAGGTGCAATCGTCCTGAATGTTGGATGGTGTGTTGATCTCCTGATCAAACAGAGCTTCATGGTTTTGCCCGGCTGCGACGACAGCGCTCTGCATGTGCCTTTTCAATGGCGGGTCTATCCACATCAGTTCCTTAATGTTTCTTATATTCTCTAGGCACCAGCCCGATTTGGCGCGAAACTTTGGCAACCTACTTTGCACACGCTCATTCATTGGTAGGAGGAACCTCATCAGAATGTTGCTAAATTGGCCGTAGTTTAGCCCGTGAGCAACAGTGTCTGAAGGATGGAGAATCATGATACTCGCAACAAGTGTCGACTGTTTGCAAGGCAGGCCTACAATGGCCTACAATTCAACACTTGCAGCTAATCCCATCTCGGTCTTGCTGAGGTTGGCTACTTGCCTGATGGAACTCCGTTGAACAAGGCCACAGCTGGGACCCAACACGTGCAAAAAGGGATCCACTGAGCTTGTTTCAGAAACTTGGGGTTGTGAGCGTCTCATCGTTTCAGTTTAAGGTCAAGGATTGTGTGCCCTTATTGGAACCGATGTACCATCACCATGACTCTACAGACTGTGTGCAGACTTGGCCAGGCCGGCAATTGCATGAATCATCCTGAGAACATCCAGCCAGATCCTCACGCCCCGGGCACCTCGGCGATCGGTGGCCACAAGTGCCACATCCCAAGGTGTTCCAACGGTGTCCCATAATGTCCCATTGTTGTCCATGAGTGCCCAACCACTTTTAGTTGGATGAACCTGATGAACGCCAACTGGTGCATGTATTGGTAGGAAATCGTGGTTCTTATTTTTCGGAGGCTGAAACATATCCAGGCGTTGCTTTTGTTTGTTTCTTTGTTTGTTTGTTTGTTTGTTTGTGTGTGCGTAGGATTTTTAACTCCAATTGTCCAAGCTAGTTTTATCATTGGGAGCACCCCAGGATTTACCCAAATATTTGTGGCAAAGGTCCAGGCTGTCTTCACCAAGGATCTCCTTTGCCCCGGGCCGTCTTTGTGAATGACGTGGGCTACTTGCCAGATGGCACCCCGATGAACAAGGCAGGCAACGCCATCAACCACCCTGAAGCTTGGTTTGAGGGGAGAGGTGATCGGTCGCAAGATCATAACTAGAGCAGGATTAGGTGTATTGATTTACTGAAAAATGAGTTCCAAACAGTATTCAGGTAAAAGATCATTGGGATGACAATGATGAGCTGCATGGATCATCAGAAGGTCAGTTGCACAAAGGAAACCATCCAACCCGATCCTCATGCTCCGGGCTCTGCGTTGCCAACATCATCCTATGCCGCGGACATCGGATACCTCGTTGACGGCACCCCGTGCTCTGGCTTGTCTGAGGGTCTGAGGGAGTCATTTTAAGATTTTGAGAATGTGGGCTCTTGGGGTTTGATTTTGAGAACTAAAAAGGTGAAGTTACAAAATTGCATCACAACTCACAACCAGGCCTTTTGGGTTTGAACGGAGAGGCCTTTGAATTATATCATATTCTTTCACTGTTTGACTATCTTTCACTTCATGTGTACTTTTTGGGCTATCTTTGCGCGCTCATTGCAATCATCATGTATCTCTGCGTCTCAGATTGTTTGTTACCTGCGAGCCACAGTTCCACAGTTTGTTTGGGATTTCCATCAGGCTGCAGCCCCTAATTTCTTACCTCTGCCCTTGGGTCATCCTTGGTGTCTTACCTATCCCTATCTCTTGATTGTGCACAAAGGCTGGATGCAGCCGGAAACAATGCGGTGCACTGATTTGGCAACGCACGGATTCACTAGATCTGGATGATTCTGGATGTCGAAAGGTCGACGCGTGATTGGAACGCGCGTGCGCAGTCGACAGTTTCCTTACAGTTTCAATTTCAGAGAGGTTTGGAGCCTTTCTGTTGCACTGTTGCTGAAGCCTGTTAAGGGCTGTGCAGTGGAACAGTGTCACTCCTTTTCACATCTTTTCACGTGTAGATATAGCTGAGCTGGGTGCCCACCATGTCCTTGCGTTGGTACCCACGCTATATGGGCGGTCGATCAAAAGACCTCGGCAACACCGTGGCAAACGGGGGGGTCAATGGTCTTGCTTTTTAACATCTTGCAATTAACAAGAGGATATTCAACCACTTTCTACCAACCTCCTTATTGCATACAGCGTTTTGATCGGTTGCCATGCTTCTAAGTTGGCTCACGGGGAATTGAAGCGAACATAGCTTCAAGTTCAAGCTGGCGTGAAGCCATTCGGTACAGAACCAGGGGTTCTTACTGTAGTTAGGCGACTGAGTCCAAGAGTTGAAGTGAAATTTGCCCTGTTAGCAAACACAGATAATCATACGAATTGATGCTGCAAGCCGTTGTTGATTTTCAGTACCTGAGACAGAGGTTCTCATCTTGTACACTGAAAGGGTCCATGAGGATCCAGTGATACTTGGGGTATTCAGAGGACATCTGATTTTCAGATGAGAACCCAGAACTTGGGAACTCAGAAATCATGTTTCGTGCTGAAGGACCACTGCGCAAGCACAGCTTTCTCCCGGCCGAGAGAATCTCTGGCGAATCAGACGTAAAGTTGACGCCAACGTACCCGAACACTTCGCATTGCATTGCGAGACGCGACTGAAGATGAACAAGAAATGAGCGTTTTGTTCTCAAACTCAGGGACCCAGAACGGATGGTTTGCCATGATTTCCCTACACCATAGCCACTATACAAGTTGTTGAGTTTTCACATGTTTAGTGCTTGAATCCTTTCTGGAAACCAAGCCTTGACCCATATTCGAGCATTTTTGTCACGGTCTTTGGGTAGGGCTGGTTGGCCCTGAGAGCAGGGCATCCAGCCTCCGTGTTGAAACTTTGGCAGCAGATGGGCTGATCATTGGTAGCATGGGAGAAATCCTCCAATTCTCCATCAACAAACTCGTACATACTGCATATTATATACTATATGTATATTATCTACTACAGTATATATATACATACATACTATAAGACTATATACTTATTGGTTTCAGAAACGACCTGGTTGGGCTGCCGGGCCCAGATGCGGCCTTTGATGGCTCCAAGGTGGGTTCTGGCCTACAAAGTTCTTGTACCGGCGCTGTCCCTCAAGAAAATACCCCAATTCCAAGGCCTTCCGAGAACAAGAATGTTCACAAACTTGTACATTTTTTGTGGGAGGCATTTGTGTAATTTATCTGGCCCAATCCCTGGAATAGAGCCAGCGCAATCACTTGCTGTGGTCGTTTCACTTGTGGCTCAAAGAGCGCTGGCTGGTGCGACGTTTGGGTAGCGCTAGGGATGACTTTGTCTGCAGCTCAGATAGGGCCTCTCATTCGAGGATTGTCATCCACCCGAAATCAGATAGATTTCATCATATTTAATCTATTTACAATCTTTTTCTTCATATTTACATGTTGAATGACCAGCCACAAAGGAAAGCAGGATCTGCGGAAACTTTCTCTCCCAGGTCTAGCGACAGCGTGTCCCAGGCAGGAAGCTGCTGATGGTCTGCTATCTAAATGACTAGCCATGGAACCCGTTCTGGGCTCTCTTGACATCTCTTGACCCCCCACCTTGGACTGACATGTCTTCTGGTCATTTTTAGATTTTAAACACCCTTGGACTTGTATGGATTTGTTGCACAACCTTGCGCACCAGTTTGACCATGCTTGACCCTAGCCATAGCCATGTGACCTGACCGCCACAGGATGACAACGCAACAGCAACATCGGCTCCTCGGTGCAGGGAGATTGTTGCCACACATGTTGCCGCAATGAAAGCACAACTAACGTCCGCGTTGCCCATGCGTTGTCCATGCGTTGTGAGCATTGAGCATTGTCCATCCGAAACGTGGAGAAACGTGGAGAAACATGGACTGAGTGGACGCATTGCGATGCCAAGTGGCCAAGTGGCCAAGTGGCCAAGCTCAGTGAATCGACGAATCGATGAATGAGTGGTTACTCTGGTTCTGTGGGGAAACCATGACTCTGCCATGACTCAGGTGCTCGAGAGAAATGCAACTGGGCCAAGCGGTGGACCCGGAAGTTTACTACTGTTTACAGAAAGTGTTTACATGTGTTTACTATCATTTAACTTATCATTTACTCATTTGTCGACTTTCCTTTGTATGTGAACAAAGATACAAAGCAAATGAGAGACATGCTAAACACTTCTGTTCGATGCAAATGATGGAACCAATGACTGACACACTGACCTTCAAACACGTTTTAAGCAAAACAGCTTCAAAGACGCCTATAGAATTTTATAGAATCTTTTGGAAAACATAGAGAAAGATAGAGATTCTGAGATGCCCGGTTTCTTTATTGCCACTGGGACGATGTCAATGCACTTTGCGGATGCTGCAGCTGGGGAAGACTTCTTGTTGGGACGCTTGCCCCATGAATCAAAGTCTGGCTCGGTGCAATCCCCCTGCAACATCCTTCAACAAAAACAACCCAGTTGCCAACCACAGGCAGTTGACGAGGCGGTTACTGGCAGCCTGAGGTACTTCTTGAGGTGTTTGCGGCTTTGGGTCTGCCTTCTGAGAGGGCCATTTCGATTGCAGACCACGGATGTCGTTTGGGCATCAAAGTGCAGTGCAATGCGCAGGGCCACGTGACGTTTCTGGATTTGTCAGCTCCTCGACGCATGTCTGGTGGTGGAGCCAGTCCTGCTATGAACTAGTGATGGAAACGTAAACTACATAAACCAATAAGCTTCCACTAAGCTTCCACTTTGGATGTCATGCTAGTGTGCATTGCCTGATGCAACATCCAACAAGAGCAGCCCCCATAGGAAGAAGTGGGGGTTTTAAGTCCTAACAGAAACTTATGTGACCAGGAGATTGAAGCGCCATGGGAGCCTAACATGCTCGTTTCGGCGACACTTGTTTGGGAAACCCTTCTTGCCCCCTACAGGTTGCTTTGCAAAAGCAGTCTGACATCTAAATGAAGCATTTCAGCCGAGGGAATGGCAACTTGTGCGTTTTTTTCCCCAAACAGTGTACTGTTAGGGCCTGTTAGGGATTCTGAATGCTTTCTTAAGGTGTCCGCCTTGGTGTTGGATGGTGTGTCCGCCTTTCCGAGGGTCTTGTCTCCGCTTTTCTCCCATTGTACCCCTTCTTGTTTCCCTTTGTAGGATGGTATGTCCGTCTTCCCCAGGCTTGTCTCCCCTTGTCTCCCATTATACTCCTTCTTGTTTCCCTTTGTTGGATGGTGTGTCCGCCTTCCCGAGGGTCTTGTCTCCGCTTGTCTCCCATTGTACCCCTTCTTGTTTCGTGTTGTAGGATGGTGTGTCCGCCTTTTTCCAAGGTCTTGTCTCCCATAGTCTCCCATTGTCTCCCTTCTTGTTTCCCTTTGCTGGATGGTGTGTCCGCCTTCCCGAGGGTCTTGTCTCCCCTGGTCTCCCATTGCCTTCCTTCTTGTTTCCCTTTGTTGGATGGTGTGTCCGCCGAGGGTCTTGTGTCCCTTTGTCTCCCATTGTGCCCCTTCTTGTTTCCCTTTGTTGGATGGTGTGTCCGCCTCCCGAAGGTCTTGTCTCCCATTGCACCCCTTCTTGTTTCCCTTTGTTGGATGGTGTGTCCGCCTTCCCAAGGGTCTTGTCTCCCCTTGTCTCACAGCTTGTCTTCCTTCTTGTCTTTGTTTGTTGGATGGTGTGTCCGCCTTCCCGAAGCCTGGTCCCCCGTGTTTCCCAGCTTGTCTCCCATTTTGTCTCCCAGCTTGTCTTCCTCTTTGTTTCCCTTTATTTTTCGGTATCTAGTGTTGCGACAAAGCTAGTGAAGCGGAAAAAAATAAAGGTGAAGTGGTTTCCGGCACGCATTGCCGACATTTTCACGATTCCTGCCGCTGCTAGTTCATGTGTTTGACCCTGTTCCTCTAAGCATTTCTTGAATCCACCAACTGTTTGGGGTCTACGGTGGTGTAATTTTTGGTTCATCAGGAGCTATCATCCCAAGTGCAAGATTTCTGACAGTCTGGTAGCTGGAAAACACATGGTTGACACCAACTTTGACAGCGTGTTGCAATGCAAACTGAACAATGCCAAACCATGTGGAGCGTCTCCCCATGTCTCTCCAAAGGCAATGTCCGAATTGTCTTGATCCTGTTGTGTGAGGATATGGAGCTGAACGGAAGGCTCTCTGAAAAGCTGGGGCAACTGTCAGCACTGGAAGAAATTCACCTGGATCACAACTTTCTGCGAGGTTCCATTCCCTCACAGCTGGGTTACCTTGCGGCACGATCAACGGGTCGGACGGGTGGAGTTTGATCGACCATGTCCGGTGTCAGGATTTTCTTAAAAAGGTATCGACCCTGACGTCATTGGTTTCGGGCCAGTTGTTGCTTCTCAAGGCCCATTTCGGGGTGTCCACATTTCACAGGAATGTGACCCCAGCAGCCACCAGCCCTTCAGAGTCAGTGTCGGTAAGGTGAGCTTGGATCCCTCCGAATGCTGTCTCTGGACAACAACGTTTTGACCGGAGAGATTCCAAGGTGGGGATTCGTGTCGTACTGGCAAGGCCCATGACATTATATGACTAGAGACGCCACAAGCAAACGCCTCACGATTCAATGCCCCCAGATTATGACATCATTTTCCAGCTGAAGACATGTGACTGTCACATCCATGTTTGAATCAAACTACATAATCAAAACCCCAGCAACAGTTCTTAGAAATGTATATGCATATACACGTATACCGTAGATGCTGTAGATGTATATGTAATATGTAGGTAGATAGATAGATAGATCGATAGATAGATCGATAGATAGATAGATAGATAGAGATAAATGTAGATAAATGTAGGTATATGTCGATTTATCGACGGAAGTTTAGAAGTCAAACTTCTGACAATATGGAGAGATGGAAAAGCAGAGGTGGGAAGAGTCAGAGAAGGAAAGAAGAAGAAAGAAGATCAGAGAAGAGAAAAAGTCAGAAGACAGAAGATGCAGGTGCGCAAAAAGGTAGTAAAGTCGCGAAACACTGTGTTTTTCTGATGATTTGTGGCCCCGGAGGATCGAAAAGTAGGCTCGCTAAAGCGGCGGGTGCGGAGCCGTCTGGGAGATGAGAGATGAAAAATAGCATGCCGTTGTGGCGCGAAGCACATTTCGAAGTCAAAAGTGGTAAAAACTGACGGTCTCAGTCCACTTTTGGGAAGTTGAGAATGAAGAAGTGCACGCCGTTGTGGCGCGAAGCACATTTCGAAGTCAAAATGTACAATACAAAACACACCATTCTCGGAGCACTTTTGGAAGTTGAGATGTCGAAAAAGTGCACGCCATTGTGGCACGAAGCACATTTCGAAGTCAACATGTGCAAAGCGAGCCAGCTTCAGAGCACTTTTGGAAGTTGAGATGTCGAACAAGTGCACGCCATTGTGGCGCGAAGCACATTCCTGAGTCAAAATGTTTGAAAGCACTACATGCTCGGACCATTTTGAAGTTCAGATGTGGTTTTGCGTGGCAGGCGCAAGGGCTTCTGCACCTTGCCAAAAAGTGAGCCAAATGTGAGGGTTTTGTGGCATTTCCAAAAACGATGGCAAGGCGTGGGACGTTTGAACAGGATCTGGACAGATGCATTTCGCGTGGCAGGCGCAGTGCAAGAGACATGTGCATCAGAGATGTTAGGAGGTCAGGGCGCTGATTTCCTGAGAAAGGTTGCATTTTGGAGCATCAGATCTTCAGGTTTGCTAAGGTCATTTTGCGTGGCGGGCGCAGCACTTGACACCGATGGAGTGGAAAGTCACAAAGCGCATTGGCACGAGGCCGTCAGCTCTGCACTCAATTTTCCATTTTTGAAGGAAGTCTCGCAGAATTGCTTTGATTTTGATGTTGTCAACTTCGAAAATTGAGCAAGTCTCGCAGAATTGCTTTGTTTTTGATACTGTCAAGTTCAAAAACTGAGGAAGTCTCGCAGAATAGCTTTATTTTCAAGCTTGCAAACAGACAGATAGACAGATAGACAGACAGATAGACAGGTAGACAGATAGACAGATAGACAGATAGACAGATAGACAGGTAGATAGATAGACAGGTAGGTAGGTAGGTAGATAGATAGATAGACAACTACAACTACACCACACTGCCACAACAACTGCAAATACAAACACACTACGCTACATTACACTACACTAATAACGCTACACAGCACCAATTACATCTAATTACGTTGCGCTACGCCAGTTACAGCACAACGACAGCGACAACGACAACTAGAACTACAACAACAACAGCAACTACTGCTGCTGCTGCTGCTACTACTGCTACTACCACTACTACTACTACCACTACCACTACTGCTACTACTACTACTGCTACTACTACTGCTACTACTACTACTACCACTACTACCACTACTACCACTACTACTACTACCACTACTACCACTACTGCTACTACTACTACTACCACTACTACCACTACTACCACTACTACTACTACCACTACTACCACTACTGCTACTACTGCTACTACTGCTACTACTGCTACTACTGCTACTACTGCTACTACTGCTACTACTGCTACTACTGCTACTACTGCTACTACTGCTACTACTGCTACTACTGCTACTACTGCTGCTACTGCTACTGCTACTGCTACTACTCCTACTCCTACTCCTCACTACCACTACTACTACTACTACTACTACTACTACGACTACGACTACGACTACGACTACTACGACTACTACGACTACTACGACTACTACGACTACTACGACTACTACGACTAACTACGACTGACTACGACTGACTACGACTGACTACGACTGACTACGACTGACTACGACTGACTACGACTGACTATGACTGACTACGACTGACTACGACTGACTACGACTGACTACGACTGACTACGACTGACTACGACTGACTACGACTGACTACGACTGACTACGACTGACTACGACTGACTACGACTGACTACGACTGACTACGACTGACTACTACTGACTACTACTGACTACTGACTACGACTGACTACGACTAACTACGACTGACTACGACTAACTACGACTGACTACGACTACGACTACGGCTATGGCTACGACTACGACTACGACTACGACTGACTACGACTACGACTACGACTGACCACGACTGACTACGACTGACTACGACTGACTACGACTGACTACGACTGACTACGACTACGGCTATGGCTACGACTACGACTACGACTACGACTGACTACGACTACGACTACGACTGACTACGACTACGACTACGACTGACTACGACTGACTACGACTGACTACGACTGACTACCACTGACTACGACTGACTATGACTGACTACGACTGACTACGACTGACTACGACTAACTACGACTGACTACGACTACGACTACGGCTATGGCTACGACTACGACTACGACTACGACTGACTACGACTACGACTATGACTGACCACGACTGACTACGACTGACTACGACTGACTACGACTGACTACGACTGACTACGACTGACTATACGACTGACTACGACTGACTACGACTGACTACGAAAAACTACGACTGACTACGACTGACTACGACTGACTACGACTAACTACGACTCACTACGACTAACTACGACTAACTACGACTAACTACGACTGACTACGACTAACTACGACTAACTACGACTGATTACCACTGACTACCACTGACTACCACTGACTACCACTGACTACGACTGACTACGACTGACTACGACTGACTACGACTCACTATGACTAACTACGACTGACTACGACTGACTACGACTGACTACGACTGACTACGACTGACTACGACTAACTACGACTCACTACGACTAACTACGACTAACTACGACTAACTACGACTGACTACGACTAACTACGACTAACTACGACTAACTACGACTAACTACGACTGACTACCACTGACTACCACTGACTACCACTGACTACCACTGACTACGGCTGACTACGGCTAACTACGAGTTACGACTGACTACGACTGACTACGACTAACTACGACTGACTACGACTGACTACGACTGACTACGACTGACTACGACTGACTACGACTGACTACGACTGACTATACGACTGACTATACGACTGACTACGACTGACTACGACTGACTACGACTGACTACGACTGACTACGACTGACTACGACTGACTACGACTGACTATGACTGACAACGACTGACGACGACTGACGACGACTGACGACGGACGACGACGGACGACGACGGACGACGACGGACGACGGACGACGGACGACGACGGACGACGACGGACGACGGACGACGACGGACGACGACGGACGACGACGGACGACGACGGACGACGACGGAGGACGACGGAGGACGACGGAGGACGACGGAGGACGACGGAGGACGACGACGACGACGACTACTACTACTACTACCTCTACTTCTGCTACTACTACTGCCACAGCAGCTACAACTACAATGACAACTACACTACACGACACTACACTATACTAATCACACGACACCAAACCACAACTACAACTGCACTACTTTAAACTACACTAAATTCGACTACACTAGACTATACCACACTACAGTACACAACACTGCAGTGCACTATGCTACACTACACTCATTGCACCACACCACAACTACGACTGCAACTGCAACTACACTAGTTACACTACATCACGACTACAACTTCACTACATGGCACTACAACTACAACTACTACAGCACCACACCACACTACATCCTGCAGTTGTGGCCATTGCAACCACTCCAAAAACACACACCTCCAACCACCTTTCGGTCCATCTGTGGATTCGCCCTGCCACCCGTGATTCACAACAGCCAACCTCTCCTATAGGTGTCCTATCTTTGAAACTTCTGCCACCGCCTTGTGCGGTACTACTGGTATTTATGTGGCTATATGTGAAAACAATTTTTCAAGATTTTGCCTACGAGGTGCGCGGGTAGCACACGCGCAGTGCGCAATGGGTGCGCAAGTGGAATGTGCATGTGCGCGCGCAGGGGTTGAAAAGTGAACGTACAAGGGCGAGGGTGAACGCGCAAATGCGCTAGTGGGGTATTCGGGTGAACACGCAAGTGGGCGAGCAGAGTGCGCGGGTCAGCGTGGCACTGCGCACTTTCACATGTTCATTTTCTTTTGCCAAATATGACCTTAAAAATGAACATTCTTTGTTGTGCAATCGGCAAATCTATTGCGCGCATTGGTTGTGCACGTTGCACGTCTTGACCCCGCGAATTTGCATCACATCGCGCACTTTGGGTCGCGCGCATTGCGCACCTTGACCGCGCACATTGCGCAGTCTGAAGTCCATATGTACGTTCGTATGTTCATTTCTGATTCCTGGAGTTTTAGTGACTTTTGTATGATCCTGGATTACGCACTCTTGGATTCTGATAAGCTATATGATATATGTGAACATAGAAACATCATGTTGGGATGAAATGATCACGTTGCCAGGGCCTTGGGCCAACTCACATCCTTGCGGTGGCTTCTGCTATGGCGGAACCTACTTTCGGGGGAAATTCCCGCCGAGCTGGGGCAATTGAAGCAGCAGGGCCGAAAAGACATTGGGCCATTGGGTGTGTTGATCATGGTTGAGCATGGTTGATGATGGTGATTTTGAAATGATATGCTTAAGTTTCAAATTCGAGACACGTCGGTGTATTGAAGGCGGGTGCTTTTCATGCGTCTTGTGGGTTGCTCTCAAAGTTGTGCCACCGAATTCCAAACCAAACGGTTTTTCTGGTGAAATTAGTGGGTTTGGGTCGACACATGACAAAAGTTATTGGGTGTTCATGCTTCTTTACCTTGTTAAAATTCACAACCTGTGACTTGGAGAGGGGAAGAAATTGATCAGGTTTTGTCTATCCATGCTACCAATACCTGCAGTTGTGGTGAACTCGTGAAAAAAGGAAACTGCGTCAAACGATCCACCATGCAGCAGGCTACCACATGCAAATACTGGTGATTTGTCGCGTGGCCACTTAAATTTCCATTTCAAATTTCAAATGGTCAAGATGAATTTTGGGGATTCCAGTCACTAAATGCTATATACTGTACAGATAGGACCCTTACAGAAAATGTCCATTTCACAAAACAAAAACAATTATCATTTTTTTTTTTGAACTTCCAAGAAGCGAAAAACATTGAACAGGTTGTTGAATTTTTAGATTGGAATCTTGCGACCAGGTTCATAGTCTTTCCAAAGTCGCCATCAATTGCAAATATCAAAGAAAATTGTGGTCCTCACACCGACTCCCGTGATAGTCAGCCTTGTTTTGTTCTTCCATGTGAACCACTGGTTTTTGAAAACACCGGGATGGGTTTGCTAACCCACCTGAAGCCTTCTGTGCAAGAGCACGAAGAACACGCTCCAACCCAGGCTCTTGGTTCAAGTAGTGTAGTGTGCAGTAGCACAGCATGATTCTGTCATACATGAACTTTACACGAAGTGAAGTAACATGAACGAAGATACATGACGTGAGCGTGCAGCAGCACAGCATGATTCTGTCATACATGAACTTTACACGAAGTGAAGTAACATGAACGAAGATACATGACGTGAGCGTGCAGTAGCACAGCATGATTCTGTCATACATGAACTTTACACGAAGTGAAGTAACATGAACGAAGATACATGACGTGAGCGTGCAGTAGCACAGCATGATTCTGTCATACATGAACTTTACACGAAGTGAAGTATATAACATGAACGAAGATACATGACGTGAGCATGCAGCAGCACAGCATGATTCTGTCATACATGAACTTTACACGAAGTGAAGTAACATGAGCGAAGATACATGACGTGAGCGTGCAGTAGCGCAGTAGATTCTGTCATACATGAACTTTACACGAAGTGAAGCAACATGAACGAAGATACATGACGTGAGCGTGCAGTAGCACAGCATGATTCTGTCATACATGAACTTTACACGAAGTGAAGTAACATGAACGAAGATACATGACGTGAGTGTGCAGTAGCACAGCATGATTCTGTCATACATGAACTTTACACGAAGTGAAGTAACATGAACGAAGATACATGACGTGAGCGTGCAGTAGCACAGCATGATTCTGTCATACATGAACTTTACACGAAGTGAAGTAACATGAACGAAGATACATGACATGAGCGTGCAGTAGCACAGCATGATTCTGTCATACATGAACTTTACACGAAGTGAAGTAACATGAACGAAGATACATGACGTGAGCGTGCAGTAGCACAGCATGATTCTGTCATACATGAACTTTACACGAATTGAAGTAACATATGTAACATGAACGAAGATACATGACGTGAGCGTGCAGTAGCACAGCATGATTCTGTCATACATGAACTTTACACGAAGTGAAGTAACATGAACGAAGATACATGACGTGAGCGTGCAGTAGCACAGCATGATTCTGTCATGCATGAACTCTACACGAAGTGATGTAAGATGAACGAAGATACATGACGTGACCGTGCAGAGAAGCACAGCATGATTCTGTATCATGAACGTTACACGAAGTGAAGTAACATGAACGAAGATAAATGACGATGAGCGATGCAGTAGCACAGCATGCTCTGTCAGCCATGAACTTTAACGAAGTAGCAGTTGAAGTAGTAAACATGAACGAAGGATCACATGACGTGTGAATCGTGCAGTTAGCACAGGCATGATCTGTCATACATGAACTCTACACGAAGTGAAGATAACATGAACGAAGATGCATATGACGGTGAGCGTGGCAGTAGACGCAGTATGATCTGTCATACATGAACTTTACACGAAGTGAAGCAAACATGAACGAAGATACATGACGTGAGCGTGCAGTAGCACAGCATGATTCTGTCATACATGAACTTTACACGAAGTGAAGCAACATGAACGAAGATACATGACGTGAGCGTGCAGTAGCACAGCATGATTCTGTCATACATGAACTTTACACGAAGTGAAGTAACATGAACGAAGATACATGACGTGAGCGTGCAGTAGCACAGCATGATTCTGTCATACATGAACTCTACACGAAGTGA